CTATTTTCTTCTTGTTCTACTATTATTCTGGGTTTATTTACTCCTTTATGAGTTTCTTTCTAGTTTCTGAGATCCTCGAAAATTCTGAGAAGCTCCTGTTGTATCCTGGGGGACTTGTGCAATACACCGTAGATAAGTCCTTAAGGGCAATGTTTATACAAGCCTCAGGAATAAAGTTTGTTTGTGTCTCTGTCAGCTTTTACAACACATACAAGACGGAAATTCAAAGACAAGAAAGAAGGAAAGATGAAGGTACTTACCTCTCGAAGACCTCCATGCCTAGCTCTGATACCAAATTGATGGAAATATTCTCTTTCATTCCACCATGGATGGCACCTAAAGCCTCATACCTTGAGCACCCAAGGTGAATCAAAATTCTTTCTCAAGTTTCTAAAGAAACTTGGCACTAACTCCTCCAAGGAAGGTTCCTTGTTAGGATAATAGGAGAAAGAATCCCTAAAGACACTTGAAAAATCAATTCATTGTACAAGCAAAATATGCAAGGTCCACGTACAAGTTTTGACTTCATTCCAATGTGATTAAAAAAATTACACAAGGGGTCATATATATAGTTGTTCCCCTCTCATCCACTCACTCACCTAAGGAATGTGGGACTAATTTTGCCTTATACAAGTGATGGTTGAAGTTCCTAACTTCAAGCCCCACCTAGACCACTTTCGATTACATTTATGAGTTTATATACCAAAAAACTCTCAAATGTTGCAACCAAGAGCTGAACCTTGGACCTCCTTGAGTGTTTGGATTGCTTTGGCCGAACTTGAGAAGCTAAACTGATGTATTCCCTTTTTGTTGCAGCCAACACTTGAACCTTAGGTGCAACCCCTTCAAGTTTGGGCCTTATTTGAAGTCTAGTGTGTTGAGATCCAGTGTGGTGAGGCCCAATGTGTTATAGCCTAGATGGTTCTCCATCACTAACACATATGGATAATTTTAACACTGATGACCCTTCAAAATTTACACTTGGACAGAAAAAGTAAACATAATCAGAAAAACTAAAGCATTAATCAAATAAAATAATACAATGATAAATAATTACTTCCAACTACACTCCACCATAGAAAATTAAAGATAATTTAATAGTTTTACACTGAATACATTATAAATTGAAGCTTCACTGCCCAAACATAGGTTCCTTTAGCAAAAGTTGCAACAAAAATATTAACAAAGTTTGTTATACTACCTTTATGCAAACCTAATTAAACATATTTTAACAAATATAAATCAAAATTTGTTAAACCAACACTTAATTAGTAAACTACTCCAAAATATGGTCATTGTGTTTGTGTTGTCCCTACAAGGTTGATTTTAATTTCAAAACCTAATTTTCATGTTTTACCTCAATTATTGTTTTTTGTTCTGATAGAGGATGCATGATGTTTATGCTATAAGAGGCTACATTTTATGACATGGGAATAGGTATAATATTCTTCCTTATGGCTTGTACTAGTTCTCCTCTATATTTATGGAGATAGGCTATATTTTAGCACTTATGTTACTGCTCATCCAGGAAATACTACAATATAAAAGTTGTTATGGGGAGAAATTGATGTATAAATTTTTATTTTCCCTTATAAATATGTTTAAGGTTTCTACAACTGAAAGAATAACTTAATGTCTTTATTGCCAATATTATATTAAAACAAACAAAACAACATGTTTAAGATTACTACAACATGTTTAATTTCAACAAATGAATGTTGAGTTCAAGGATTGAGTTTATTTTCCTACATAATAATGTAACAAGAATAACACACCATAACCAGATAATAGATCATTGTTGCCACAAAAGTAAAACCTAAGGACATCAAAACCGTAAACTATGGAATACCAAACACTACCTCATCACTCTCCTCAATGGTAGTAAACCATTTCAACCTTAGGCATGACATCCACAACTTCATCCTTGGTGGGATGGATTGTGGTGCTAGAATCATAGTCATTGATCTTGCTAAAGACCTTGTGGATAACTATCCAACAACCTATGCACTTGTAGTTAGTACAGAAGTTGTGAGCTCTACTTAAAGTTGTCAGTTCTACTAGTTTTATCTTATTTAACTTATATTTTGTCCCTTTACATCTCTTAATGACATCATAACTTTAGTTTTCTATGAGATCAATTTTACGATTTCTCTATCTTAATACTTTGAGTTATGACTCATACATGCGAAAACTAGTTCGAACTCACAAAGGGATAGATAACAAAAGCTATAAAAGCATACATCAAAGGGAAGATAGTGAAGGGCGGAAAGGGCTCTCTATGGTCGGGTTTGCCAAATAGCTTGTGGGGTAGGGTTCATGTGTAACAATATTTTTTGGAAGGTCATGGTTAAATATGGGGAAAGTAAAAGAGCATATATACGCAGTTTGAATAATATATAACAGCAACTTCAACAGAGTACATCCTTGCTCTCTTTCACTTTTAATACTTACTCACTATATAGATACTAGGCCTAACATCAATCACCCCCCCTCTAGTTTCTTTTACAACGTGAGCACAAAAAAATCAAACTACTAATAGTTAAATACAATTGAAGTATTAAACGAATCCTTTAGATGAAACTACATACATGATTTGCATTTTTCTAATAAAAAGCAAAGTTTCACCTAAATAATCTACACTGACAGGTAATCAAAACCTAACCAAAAGTATAAATGAAACTACATTTGAGGAATTAACACAAAGTTTAATCAGTGCTTTGACTCCAAAAAAATTAAGTTGATTGTAGGGGTTAAATCTCACTGAAAATGGTACATAGGTATTACATATCATTGATTAGGGTCAATTAAGGATAAATTTTTTAATGATTGGATCATTTAAGCAGCAATTTTGACAAAAAGGGGATTGAAGGTGATTTAGGGTTCTTGTGGGTGTTGGGCTCGAAAGAGAGGCGTTTGAGGTGAAGGAAGAGTGAAAATAGTTTTTTATTAATCAAAACAACTTACCAATAAACAATGAATACATTACCAATGAAAACACTTACAGGTAATATAATTAAAAAAAATTATCATCTCAAATATTTTTGATAGAAATGGATCATCCGTAATGAATTATTAATTTACCGACAAATAAATATGTTAATAATACAAATATCCCACACAACACATATTCGTCGATAAATGTTTATTTTATGATTGATTGAAGTCCATTGAAAAATTTTCATCTATAACTAACAATTTACTTGTAATGTGAATTTAACTACATTAATACTTTAAATTATTCATGAAACAATCCAATTAGCTCCCCAAATTCACATTATCTTCAAATTTACTCACAAAAATCCTAATAAACAAATCTAACACATCACCAAGACCCTAGACTAACCAAAATTGATCTTCATTCCAAAATAATCACATGCAAACAAAGTCTAAAGCACATGTAGAACCAATTCCACATGCAACTCACCCTATAAATTTAAAGAAAATTCTAATTGGATTAAAAAAAAATTCTTTTCTTATAAGGAGTATTACACTATGTTTAGATCTAGAAAAATAAAGAAAAAAAGTAAAAGGTCTTATAAAAAATGTTAAAAGTTTTAAAAATTTATAAATGTAATGATTTTTTAAAAATAAAATTTAAAAATAAAACATTTCTATTTAAACTCTTTCTACTAAAAGATAAAATTTCAAAATTTAAGAACTTTTACTCTTATCTTAAATACCCTTATGAGGCGAGTTATGTAAACGTAAGTCAATGTAATAATTCAACTTTTGTAAATTAACTTTCTAATATATAGTAAAAGAAGATAACAACTCGTTTTGTTTATGTTTCTAGAAACATATTTAATTAATAATATTTCAAAATTAACGCGGGATTAAGAAAGAAAAAAACTACAGAAAATCATTTTCATATCCAACAAAAAAAAATTAAAACTTTTCATGAAGTTATATTCTAAAATAATTTTATTTTAAGGAAAGCGTAAGCAAGTTTCCCTTTGCAACTTAAGTTTTTCATTTTTCAATCTATATTAGCAATACATATATTTTAACATATTTTATATAATTTAATAAATTTTATGTGAATATTATTATATCATAAAAATTTTGGTAAATACTGTTTCTGAATAAAATTCAAGTGTAATTTAATAACAAAAATACGTTAAAAACAATATTATTTACATTTTTAATTTCTGAAATACCTCCTGTTCAAAAAAAGTGTGAAAATTTAGGGTTTGGTGTAGTTTGGTTTAGTTTGGTTGGTGAACCTCATGAGGTAGGTGGAACTCCCATTTAATAGTTAATATATTACTATTGATAAGTGGTAGGTGCATTCAAATTTTGCAGCAATTCATTATTATATTACTTATTCGTCATATAATATTCTCTTGTTTTACGTTATTTATCGATTCAATACGAGTTTTGTAATTAATCGTAACTATGTTTTATTTCTTTGAGTAATTTCTTTTAAGTTGAGGGAACATTCATAATAAATTCTTTATTTTATTTTATTAATCTCCATTTGTTAACAAAAATTATATTATTTATTTAGTAGTTGTTATTAATTAAGTATTAGCAATATGAAGAGTGACGTGACTGACAGATGTCCGTTGACTACGTTGAATGCACTTTCTTCCTATTTTCTTGACTTCGATGTTAATGCAACTGAAATAGACAGAAAATAATTATTAAAATAAATGAAAAATGTTAAAATATATAATTTTTTACTATAAATGCAATCTAAAATAATTTTCCCTAATTTCTTCTGGGAATTTTAATCATTGAAAGATTGGTGGCTATATAAATCAGTAGCTAGTAGTAATATTATATTATAGTTCATTCTGGTTGTTTCATTTACGTTTATTCTATCTAACTTTCCTTCATACTCACATTTTTTACATGTTAAGTTCAACATGTTAATTTTAGAGTCACTCTCACTCTAATTTAGTTTTTTTATTACAAATTAGTGTCTTCTTTTGTGTATAAAATTTTATTCACTTAATTGAACATGTCATTTATTGTTCGATTGTGCAGCATTCAACTCTATGGCATCAAATTCTGCAGTGGCAGATGAACAGGTAAACCCTGAATCATCATCTTCCAATGTTTGATTGATTGTTTGGTTTTCATTTTGTTTTTGATGGATCAGTTTCATTCTCTTTTGTTGACATGTTGGTCTTTCTCATGTAGAAATGAAAAATTGTGTTGGTAATTGCTACCTACCACCAATGCTGGGTTTCTGCAACTGTTGTTTAAATAAGATGAAATAGGAAATAATACATGGTTGTTGCTGGTTTTGATGTTAAGGTTGTTGTTGGAGAGGAGATAGAGCATGTAAGGGTGATAACTTTGAACAGGCCAAGGCAGTTGAATGCCATCTCACCAGAACTGGTAGATTCAGTTAGCTCAACTTTCAAAGTTTTCCCTCTCTGCTGGGTTCACTTATTGCTGCTACTATTATTATTAGCTTTTGGAAAAAAAAAATGAAAGTTGTTGAACTGGTTTCAGGTTTCTCTGCTTGCAACATATTTGGAAAAGTGGGAGAAGGATGAGAACGCAGAGCTAGTTATCATAAAGGTTGATGCTTACTTCGTTATATATTTATTCAATTAAGATGTATAAAATTGTTTTATAATATCATCCAATCATGGATTATTGTTTTACTATTTTGGTTCCAAAAGAAGGATTATTGTGCTACAACTTTACTCATTGAAATTGTTGAAATGGTTTTTTTTTTTTTTTTTCTTTGACAGATTCTGTTATTATAACCTACCAAATGAAACAATCTACCGTCCTCTTGCATTTTTTGTTTTCTGTACTTATGTTCACTTCACTCAATTGCTGTGCAATTGTTCTTCCAGGGGGCTGGTCGGGCTTTTTGTGCTGGAGGAGATTTGAGAGTGTTCTATGATGGCAGGAAAACAAGTAAATGCATCTTTCTCAGTAGCATATAGAAGAATCTGCGGATTGCATTTTTTTTTCTATAGAAAAATACCTTGCTACATACTGTGAAACACACTCTTTTAGGATATTATTATCCAGTAAGTCTCAGGTGAATTTTACTCAATAGTGAAGAACTAATGAAAATAGGGTTTATTGAGTGTTCTCTGTTTTCTGTTTTGTGTGAGATCTTTAGTCTCACTTCAAGAGTAATTCATTTCTTCTCACAGAGGATGCCTGCCTTGAAGTTGTCTACAGATTTTACTGGCTTTGTTATCACATTAGTACCTATAAAAAAACCCAGGTTTGATTTAGAAACTTAATTCCACTTTCTCCTGCAAAATTTAAGGCAAAGTGTTCTTGTGAAAATTTAGACAAGTCTCACGTTTTCTTGAATTGTGCTGTTATATTATAACAGGTTGCTCTTGTTCATGGAATTTCAATGGGTGGAGGTGCAGCTTTGATGGTCCCATTGACGTTCTCAGTTGTAACAGAAAAAACTGTGAGTGATAGAGATTATTTTCTGAGAATTTAATTAGAATGTACTGACAATTTAAAAGTTTTTTACACTTAACTACATTAAGTGTCATCTCTAAAGGGATTTTTAAATGTGGATAGAGTAAAAATCATTGTGCTATACATCAAAATGAAACTCATTTTGTAAATCCAATCTAGGTTAATTTTGTGGTATAAATGCCAAGTACTATCACCTTTAACTTTTTGTGCTGTGTTCAAACAATGCTTTCACAGGTTTTTGCCACTCCTGAAGCAAGTTTTGGTTTTCATACTGATTGTGGCTTCTCATACTATCATTCTCGTTTACCAGGGCATTTAGGTAACCACAATCTCTCAAATTCCTTTTACTTTGTCTTGATTTTACTGTTTTGAAAATTTTCCCTCTTACACTTCTATGTTCCAAGCTGTTCTTTATCCATGACAAAAAAAGTGTCTTCAAAATTTTACTGCATTAGCATAAAATGATTTTAAAATGAAAAAAACTCATTCATGGATTACACAGAAAACCATGGAGATGTAATCATGCATGTAATATTATAGGTGAATACTTTGCACTTACTGGAGGAAGGTTGAGTGGGAAGGAAATAGTTGCTGCTGGACTGGCAACCCATTTTGTCCCTTCTGAGGTTTGATTATCTTTAATTTCTACAACCTATGAATTTCTCCTTTTATAAAGTTTTAATCCAAAAAAATAACAAAACCCATGAAAACAAATAACAATTATAATAAAGTTTATCAGTTTAAAAAAACTCATCTTAAAACTTGTTTTGTGCCTATGTTAAACAGATCTAATAGATTTGTTTGCATTTTCTGTTTTCTGTTCTGAGGACATTGGTTCACTAAAATTATGTCTATTGTCAAATATTTCTTAGCATCTAGTCACTAGGTGTTTGTTACATATAGTAAGGGTTTTAAGTGTTACTTTGAATTATGATGTTTAAACTTTTGGTGTACCAGAAAATTGTTGAGCTAGAGAAGCGCCTTATTAGCTTGAATTCTGGAGATGAGAATGCCATAAGATCAGTAATTGAAGAATTTTCATCAGAAGTTAATCTTGATGAAGAGAGTATCTTAAACAAGTAATCACTTTTCATCAATGATTTGTTATTTATTTTCTAGCTAGTTTTGTTCTCACAGTTACAGCAAATTGCACCATGCTCAAGACAGTAGTAACATTTGGAGATTTTTAGGCAATCAACAATCAATGAGTGCTTCTCAAAGGATTCTGTGGAAGAAATTATAAAATCATTGGTAGGTTTCTTTGTATTTCCGAAAGGAATATTATTTTCTTATTGCATGTTGAGTTCTTTCTAGGCTGTTATATATGACTGTGCAATTCACTCTAAAGGAAGTTGAAGCAAACAAGGAAGGAAATGGATGGATGGGTGCAGTTGTGAAAGGAATGAAAAGATCATCGCCAACTGCATTGAGAATAGCATTAAGATCGGTAAGGATTTTTAATATTATGAATTTTGTTAGATCTTAGACTGGATTCTAGGTATTGAGTTCTTCAAATCATTGAATGGAAGATTAAACTTGAGGTTGAAGCAAACAAAGATATATGAAATCTCATTTGGCAGACTAGCACAATTTATTTCTTTCCTAAACTTTTGAGATGATAATTTTCTTCTGACTTTGATAAAATGAAAAAAGTGAAAACATCATAATCTGCTTTATAATGGTGAATTGGCCATGAAAATACACAGATTCATGCATGTGTTTAATACAACAAAGACAATATCTTCCCTTCTTGGCTTTCATAGCTACTCTCTTTCAAATCTATGAGAAGCTAAATCAGGACAAAGAACAGAAATAGTAAATACATAATCATGTTTTTCTGTGCAGTAATATTGACATGCTGTTTCTCAAATTTCATGCTTCTATATATATATTGTCTCGGATATGTACAGGTTCGTGAAGGAAGGAATCAAACACTAGTTGAATGCTTGAAAAGGGAATTCAGATTAACAATTAATATACTGCGAACAACAATATCTGAGGATATGTACGAGGTAATTGGTGTTGTCTCATTGGTAGAACAAATCTTGACAGAAGACAGGTCAATTTTGTTAAATTTTTGGAATTTGTTCCCTAATAAATTCTGAAGCAAATTTTTGCTTTCTTTTTATGTGAAGGGTATTAGAGCTCTCACCATTGACAAGGATAATTCTCCAAAGGTATTGTCTCTCTCTCACAGTTTTCTCTTCTCTTCCAAAACATGCATGCATGCTCATTTTAGTAGTTTATGATGGACAACAGTGTAAAAAGTCTTTACTCTGTCAGTACATGTCTTATTTATTCTTCATTAATTTCTGTACTCTTTTTTTTTTTTTTTGCACCGTGGTTAATCTTAGTAATCAAAAGATAGAACTATATAGATGTTTCACTCTTCCAGGTTGAAAGCTTAACTTGATTCTTTAGAAAAAAGGCCAGTTAGTAGTTTACTATAAAATTGTGAGAAAAAGTCTACTATAATGAAAAGGAACTACACATGAGAAAGGAAAAATAAGGTGCTTGTGTTTAAATTTCTGAAATTCATAGATGAAAATCTGCAGTAGAAGATACAATAATTTACTGGTTAAGTACCTTTGGGAACCCAAAATTTGCATGATTCTTTCCACTCCATATGTCTCTTATAATTTATAATGTCAGCTTAACACACATGCATGTTTATATGTCAGTCTTAACAATATTTCTAACCAAGAGAACTTGAATAGAACATTCATGTCTATGTTTGGTTACGAAATTTATACACATCAATGCCAATCAATGAATGGTGTTGAAAGTCCCACATCGCCTACCTCATATCATTTTGTATGGTTTAAATACATGTTAGGTTACTCCACATATTGCCAATTGGTTTTATGTTGGAACCTTAACATGGTATCAGAGCCAAAGCCTAACATCTTTCCGGTTATTGTCATGGGCCAAAAAGTTGCCCTTTAGTTGGGTCAAAAGTACCCTTTGCCTGGTCCGACAGGCTTCGTTGGAGGGGGTGTGTTGAAAGTCCCACATCGCCTACCTCATATCATTTGGTATGGTTCAAATACATGTTAGGTTACTCCACATATTGCCAATTGGTTTTATGTTGGAACCTTAACAAATGGCAATTATATGACCGAGAGAAATGTAAACTTTAAACTCAAAATCTAATGACTACTAGCAAAATCAGTCCAACTATTTGTTTTTTTTGACAAAAAAGTATTATTCTTTCTGTTTGTCTTTTGTAATGCTAAATTACAACCTTGTTCAGTGGGAACCTTCATCGCTTGACAAAGTAGAAGATGCAAAGTTGGACTTGATCTTTCAGCCATTTGAGAAGAATTTAGAGCTGCATATTCCAGAAAGTGATGAAAGCAGGTTGGTTTCTGTTTGAGTTTTGATTTAATAAATACTCCTAAACTAAAATCCTCTGTTGAATAACAAAGGCTTCTCTCTAACTTCAAACAGGTGGGATGGTAAATATGAGAATTCAGCTTATGCTCTTCTTCCAAATTGAGAAAAATTCCAATGACTGGTTAAATGTTGCTCTTTTAGAATTCCTCCAAAACTACGTCATGAATTTTTCTACTTTCTGGTATCCAAATATCCAGGTTACTGTTTTGCTATGTTCATCAATAAATTTCTACAGATGTAAAAAGTTCATGCAGAGCCCTTAAGTTTATTGTTAGTATTTTGCGGAAAAGTTATGTATTTTAGATGCTACATGTATAGATGAATTATGATGTGAAAGTATAATACTCTGCCTATTTATTTCGACAAACTTTACAGTCAAGTTTATGAATAACTCTCATGTGATTAGTTATTTTTAAATAACTTTACCTGACAACCAAGAAGTGTTTGATATCAAATGAGAAACATTGGTGTCCATAAAAAAAAATTTAAAATTATTTCGTCTAGAAACGAGAGTGTCCGACTTCATATCCGTTATGATGTTATCATTACGATCACTTTCCACTTCTGAAGTATTATCTGTTTTGGAACTCTCGTCCATCATGACTTTATCATTGAAAGGTGTCTCGGTGTATATAAATTACCGACCTCAACTCTTAACTTATGCGGGATTCATAAGCGCACTGGAACATAGTCTCAGGATCCAAGACTAAAAAATATATGTGAAGCAAAAGACTTTGTTCTATGCTTCACAATAAAAGTCAATATTTTGTATAAGAACGAAAGTGTACTACTCTTGTATGGTTAATGAGAATATCTTTAATTTAAAAAAAAAAATTAATAACATTGACAAAAAAAAATATGTTTCCTGACTTCCCAATATTATCTTGAGATTAATGTATTACTCGGTGATAGAAAAATATACATAAAAGAAACAAAAGAAGATTACACTGTAGAGTTTTTTCTTTAGCTTTTTTATACGCAAAAAGTCCATGAAATATACACGTTTTACTGTTTTGATGCCAAACATTTTTTTTTCTTTTTTCTTTTTGGTTCTCAAATTTTATTATTTTAGTATATATTTTGTTAACTACCTCAACAAAATTAGCAAAAGTCTAACGAAAAGTATTGAAATAGTAAAATTTGAAATTTGGAAAACAAAAAAGATTGAAAAATAACTTGGATCAAAAGGTAAAACGTGTATATAAGATATTTTAATCTAATTAAGTTTTTTTTAGAACGAATAATGTCATCGTGCAGTTAAAATCAAGGAAAGCTAGATAAAAAAAAATTATTGACTAATGGTTTGGTATGTTGTGTCACTAATTTCTTATATTTCTAATAGTTTATAGCTATATTTTTATATTAAAATGAATATGACATGACATTGGATATAGATAGGGGACGGAATAATATAGAAAAATTTAACAACAGAAATAATAATAGTAATTTTTTCACTTTTTAAAAGAATAAAACAACTTATTTTTTTATTGTTTTGACCTTTTCTTGTATAAGCTTCATAAAACACTCAATAAAATAGAAAATGAAAAAAAAAAAAATCAACCAAACGACTCCTTCATATAAGGAATTTGTGAAATAGAACGATAATAAGAATGAACACATGACATAAAAAGTTAGATGGCCGTGAACTGTTAAATATTCAAGTAAAAACATGTAGCCACTTATTTATGTTTAACATTTGAAGAGGAAAATTTTGTGCAATTATCATAATTGACAAATCCCTCAATAAATCTATAAATGCGAGATGGAAAAGAAACTCTGACATCTATGGTTAATTCTGTTCCTAAAACGGAAATGAAGAACTATGAAATAAAAAAAATGTAGGCGATAATTAGTATCGTTTGGATCCATAAAAATAGAAAAAGACAAGATTATAATTATGCTCTAATCTTATCTTATATTATGCTAATATACAATAAATATTATATTTATATTATTAATCAATATATTAATGTGTCATTTTGGCCTACTTCAAAAAAAAGTAAAACAAAAATAATTCTTAAAAATATGCTTTTTTTAATTTAAACCATACTAATAAAATGAATTTTAATTTTAAATATAAATATATTTTAATAAAATAATGTTTTTATTTTATATCATTTTAATCTTAATAACTAAAGAGACTAAAATGCCGTTAGATAATCTAAATCAGTAGTATTATAAGCTGTGGCAGAAAGCAAGTTGAACATAACTTGGAGAAGACGAAGGAAGTCAGGTAGTAAAAATTAATAGTGTCATAGAGGTCAAACTTAGCAAAATTATCAACCAATCTTAGTTTCTCAGATTTTATCCACATAATAAAAATTAAAACATTAATTTTTTTACCAATTAATTAATTGGTGACAAAATAAATTGGATAAATTAATATTTTTATAATTTAAAGGAATAATTTTTTTTATATCATTTGGAAAATACAGAAATTCAATAATATTTAAATCTAAAACAAGCTAATGACATGGTAAGATAGATAATGGATTTTATCATGTAACTTGACACACCAAGTGATCATATTTGCATTGTAATTGAAATTTGCTCGTCATTTTTAATTGAATTTGGTGATTTTCAACAGTAAGAACGACCGACAGATAATGCATCGTAACTGGTGTTGGTGAAAGTGATTGACAGTAGCATTTACTGATAAATAAATATTATTATTTTTTCTATTCACATATTACAGATTGGAAAATATTTGAAAATTGTCGATTATATATAAAATAAAATTTTAACATTATCTATTAATAACTTGTTAGAAAGCCCCAAGCCATTTTTACGCAGCAAAAGCCCATCGTAGTATTGACTGAGACTCCTTCCACGTGCTTTCCAAATTTGGATATCGTAAAAACGTATTACTACAGTCATTAAGATTTGCTAATCCATCTTTCGGCAATCAATCCAAACATTAATTAAGATGATTTTACATGAAAAAATTTAAAAGAATATTAATCTTTGCAGTGAAATACTTTGTTTGAATATATAATTTTAGAACAAATTAAATTTTAATTTTTAAGTTAATATTAAATCCCATATTCGAACTAAGAATTTGACATAAAAAAAATAATTTAATTTATCCAAACAAAACATTTCAAAATGTAAGATATCTAGATCAAATGAATATAAATGTTTAATATTTTAAATTCTTCCAAACACAACGAAAGCTTTAATGAACAGTTGGGTGCATTTCAGAGGAAAACGGCTTTCCGCTACTACATATTTTACATGATGATTATGCCGTTTGGTAAACTAACACATCCATTTTCTGTATCAATGGTCTGGTCACACCAATAAAATGAATTAAATAAGAATCTAGCAATCGTTAATACAATAATTAACAAACTAAACTAAACTGTGGTCACTACTCAATGACAATTTGTATTATACAGGTACATAGAAGATAAAAACAAGCAAAGCAAACTATAAGACACGAAAAGCGATGGCCTCTCTCAACTACTGGGGGGGGAGTAAAGACAAAATGAGCACATTTACCTCTACACATTAGCTTATAAGATACATTTCTTTTTCCACAATAAATATTCCAAAAAAGAACAATGAAAGTGGGGGGACAGTATAAGGAGCAGAAAGCTCAGGAAAAAAAAATTAAGCACCTTGGAAAGACAACCGATCTCGAAGAGTATCGAATATTGATGAAGCGGCGGCATTTTGTGCAAAAGTCAATTTCAACCGACCAAGTAATTCACCATCTTTTGCCTGTGAAGCAGCATCGGCAGCTTCCTTGGCCAAACCAATTCTAGCATATGACTGTTAAAGATAAACTAAAGTTATGAAAACCTGCTAAAAGCACCTTACACATCGACAACTATACACTAAAGGAGGGAATTTCGCTTTATGAAAATAAATGAAAACAAGAAACAAAAGGTGAAATTCATAAACTAACATTTGCATAAGTTAAAAATCTAATTTAAAAGAAACTAAAATAAAAATTCTTTTACAAACTAACTTACACATAAGTTAATTTTAGTTTATAAAAAAGTTCATTTCATTTTTGCTTCTCATAAGTGCTTACGAAGTTAATTTAAAAAAACGTTTGTAACCTTTACAAAGTATCACATACAATGCTTGCAATAATAGAAATTTGTTTTTGACTTCTGTTTGACATTCTATTCAACGCTACTCAATGGAGTTGTTATTGTTTCTGATACATAGCCTTTACAGCATTTTTTAATCTCATCAATCTCCGTGTTGCAATTTGAATTTTCCATCTTGGAGGATATATCTTATCCTCTGCCTAATTTTACTTGTTTTCGAATAAAAATAAATACCCACTTTATTAACAATAAATATGCAATGAGAATTTAATTTATTTCTCTTTAGAAGCTTTTATTTCACTTAACTGTGGTTTCAGGCTTTCTGCAATATTTTCTGTCAATTTCGGCACAAATTGTAGGCTTTATTTACAGGAGACATGATGATTATTTATGAAACCAGTGAATTATTTATGATAAAGAATGAAATTTAATTGACATGGTCCAAGATTGTTTATCATGATTGTTAGAATGTGATCGTTTTTTTTCGTAATTGAATCCTTCAAAATCAACTTGTAAGGTAATTGTCTTCTATAATATGCTATAATTTGTTTATACCTATAATTAATTTAGAATCTCCAACACACTCATGTTAAGAGCTGGAAATATAAATGGTGACTCTAAATATTTTGGAGTGACCTGATACAGTCTAATAGTGCTCCTTCCGACTTTTAATATGGATTTTTAAGTCTCTTAACATGTTTCTAAGGTGAGAATCATATTTTTAGTTGATGTCGAATCTCCAACAATAACATTTCAATCTATTATTCTACCTGACAATGGCCCATGTTGCATGGATACATGTTAAGCAGAAAAGTAAAGAATTATGTCTATTGAGACAAGCATAGAATACCTCAGCTCTTTCTCTAGGGTCTGCAAGTTTTGGGATATATTTAACGGCTTCAGCCTTTTCATCCGCTTCAATGCATGCCTCCACAAATGGTCTATAACCTAACGATACCAGAATATGTAGGTATTGAATGTTAGAGTAGTGATGTGTTAGTAGAAGGCATAGCTGAAATATTACAACAAGGAGTCAAACCGCTTGATTTGTACCACTTCAATATTTCATAAATACCCAAAACAGTAATGCTGAACTCTACATACCGATGATCAACATCTGTATCTCACCCATTCATTGCAGATTTGTGGTCTAAACTTACTAATTCCCTACATATTATAAATGACATTATCAATCTAAAACTTACCAATTGAAGGTTTCTTCTCCTTTGAAAATTTTTCTAGGGCAACCCAATCCTTGATTGTAGCCAAAGCAAAAACTTTAAGCCAATACCATCTCTTCTCAGACACCTGAAGTAAGAGAACAACAAAAATTATGTTCCTCAAGAGCTAATTTACAGAGAAAGGGTGGTATAAAGAGTTTCTATTTTTTATATTTTTGGACTTTGTGTCAACAAATTATTAATGTAAATAGGCACCAATGATTGTAAAATTTACTAACCTTAAACTCTGTTTTCACTTTCATTGCAGCTCGATGATTTCCCAAGACAATACAAGTCCGGATTGTATCGTTTATACTAGAATCCACAAAAATGGCCTGCTTTGTAGTCACTTCAAGTTCATGCTGAATTCTGCAGTTGCGACAGTGTTATAATGTTCCTCTTGATTACACGACAAGAATATTTACTCAGCCCATACCAAAGTCTAAATGATTCTCCAAAAATATATGAACTGTTTCTTCTATATATATATATATATATATATATATATATACACACACATGGAGCTATTATCACAATAAGCCTAACAAATGAAATGCTAGATTTATTTTATAATTCTAGTGATTTGACAACATTAGTCACACCTTAATAGTTTTGCATGCTCTTCAGCTGCCTTCGATTCAAAGATGTGCTCCTTGGTTTCAGCAAAAAGACTTTGTGCCTTCTCAATAATTTTTATTCGAGGACCATGAAGTGGAGATCCTTTGCTTGCCATGGGATTTTTACCAAGCTCCCATGATTCTTTCCACAAAAGAAATGCCACATCCTATAAGGATTGACTTTAGAGTAAATTCCAGAATTTAAATGAAAAGCATGTAATTGAATATACAAGAATATGATGCGGCAGACTTGATTAAATCCAAAATAGGCATAACAAGTATGATTATAAAGTTTTAGACAGTGATGCAATTAGTAAATCATGCTAAAATTGCAAGGCAGAATTGATAGTAGACTAATGGCATGCTTAATGTAAAAGGCATATTTGGAGAGAGAAAGGCAAACAAAATTAATAAAATGCTGGGTAGTCAGGATGTATGGATAGATATATAGTCAATTCTACAGAAGAAGTCTGAGACTGAACTAGTAATTAAATAATCTGATTAAAAACATCAGCCATATGTTTATGGTATATTTGGAGGTGTGTGGTTTTTGGGGGAATGGGCAAGGAGTAAAACATCATTTCTGATAAACAATCTCTGTTTTGATATTTTTTTACGATAAAATAAAAGGAGAATAATAGGTTTAGCATAAACCTAATGTACTCATCCTTTATTTATTGTTACAAACATTATATTACTCTTAAGTTAAAAATTGAAATGTTGTCCCCTACTCCCTTCCCTTACCCTTCAAAACCACACCCCCAAACTACGAATAACATATACCAGATGTTGCCTCCTATGTACAGATTCAAATTTAGAAACTACACATGCAAATTATTGCAAAGAATGAAAACATACTTGAAGCTGCCCAGTTGATAAGAAGAAGTCCTTCAAAAATTCATGTTTATAGAACCTGTAATTGAGATTTAGTCATTAATTCCTGGATTAAATCCCATTTTAACATTGAATAAATTCAAATAAGAACACACATGAACACAAATATTAAAAAATGCTGTTCAAGTTCATCTTATATTTCTAACACTGCATTTCACCCTTCTCTCTGTCTTCTTTGTTAAATGTGAGACTCCAAACTTTTACCATTTAAGGCATTTCAGCCTTCTCTCTGTCTTCTATCTTTGTTAAAGGTGTGACTCCTAACTACAACGAAAGTCATCCAACTGTATCTTTTTTTCCATTTCTTCAGCACATATGCCTCACAGAGCCTCTTCATGAAGTTGAGGTCTCATTACACATTGATTACTTCAAACCATGGTTTTGGTTTTGATCATCTTAAAAGGAACAACTACGTGTAGGCTCAAAGGCATGAATATCAAATGTAAAAAGGTTCATAGATGTTATTAAACCTAAACTTTAACCATCATATTTCACATTTTTTTATTGAACACATGCTCTCAACAAAAACATTGTTACACTGAATACTCCCAAGCACTTATTTCTAGTGTTGCTTAACATAAGAGAACAATTACGCCTGGGCTTAAAGACATAGACAGGGATTCATAATAAAAGCTGTTAACATCTTGACATAACATTGGCACTAAGAGCACCTTGGGGTTACTTGTCTAAAGATGCAAAATGAACATGAGTTGTAGCACAGGACCATAACAGGCACTAAATAGTAGAGCCCGTGATGCATGGAAACTAGTAAATGGCTGTAGCAGGATTTTTTTTTTTTTAACTGTCTATGGTCTCAAAGTCAGTCCCATTCCCAAGTACAGGAGAACAGGTGTGTTAATGTTAGACCTCATGAACCACATGATACAAATAGGATGTGAAAAGTATTATTGGAAGACGGGTGAAAATAGGAATTAAACATATTTTATTAGTTAGCTTTTATGTAAGAGTTAGTTAGTTGGTTAAATTTTTTGGACCAGTTTTTTTACAAATAAGATCTCTGTTTAGGAAGGGGGCAGGCATTGTTTGTCAGATATAAACTGGACAGATTCCAGTGTGAAAGGAGTAGTCTCCTTTGTGTACTTGTTTTCTTGCACATTCAATAAAATTCAGGGACGAATAAAGCCCTTTCTTCTCTCGCTGATTCAGAGGTCCTAATCGTTAAACCCTCAACATTCAACTTAATACCAGCCAAAACCTCAAATGTGGACAAAGAAGGCCACTTTAGGCACCAACGGGCCGGTAAGAGGCCAAAATTGATACTGGAGAAAATTACTGAAAGGGATCTTGTGGTAAATAAAACCTCCTACAATTTGGCTTTAGTTCAAGTCTAAAAACATTGTGTAATTCATATGGCCGATCCCCCTAATCAAGGTAAAGCTATTGTTGATGTTCTATTCTAATTCAACCAATCAACCCCATCATCACGTTTTGGTATAGTTACAGGAAGATTTGGGATCAGAGAGTGTTTCAACTAGAACATAGGATCCAACCTACAGTAACATGTCACGGCATCTTTCTGTGGTCCCGTACAAGCATTGCATTATCTTGTAAAAGTATAACAGTATGCAATCATGTCTAAGACAAAGTGTTATGGAGTAGATGCACACTTCATCACGAGCATGGGTGCAAAAGTCAGCATTGATAATTAGAGCTCCAAGGAATTACAAATTAAGACATGATTGCCTCAAACCTTAGATGACAGAGTATAATGCTTTGGGACCACAAAAGAAAGATTAAGGCAGGTAATTTAGAGCAAACAAATATCCATGAAGAGTTAACAGTATGTCCATGAGTCTGTTGGTACCATTCCACTTCAGAAGTAGTATTCAAATTATTAAGATGTTCCACATTGACTAGAAATTTGATTGAGATATTCCTTATAAAATTTGGGCAATCCCCCTCTCCTTTGAGCTAGCTTTTGGAAGTGTGGCCAGTCTATTTCTAAAATATTATATCAGCTCTGGAGTGACTTACGCTTGGTTTGTTATCCACTAAACTTCTACTTTTTATCATAACACAATAATGTTCAGTTTTCCACGACATTAAAAAAAAAAAAAACTACTGTGTGCATCTTATTTTCTTTATTTGGTTAAGAAGTAGCAGTAGCCTTAATATTATAAAACCAGGAGGATCCACACTGTCTTGCCTTCTGGAATATGGTTCAAGGTCACATACCGTGCATAAGTTACAAATAAGTCACGTGCTAAAGGTCTGGCCTGTATAGTGCCAAAGAACTCCAACGGCTGCCTCTGCATCATCCATAGAAGAATCAGGCATTTGGAAATAAACTCACGTTACTTTATACACATCATAAACCAGACAATTTAAAATGTTAAGATTTCCAGATCCAATACCTTTTGCCAAATATGAAAAAGTACAAGGTAAACAAGATCTGTATCACCACATTCAATCGCCTTCATCAAGGCTATATCTTCTTCTCCAATGCTCAACAAGAGAGGAACCTGAAATAAGAATTGAGGAGTACAATATTAAAATAGCCCATCAACCAGTATCCTTGGATAACACATGGTAGATAGTAGATACAAGGCAACAAATTGGGTGGTGAGGGGGGAGTGGGGTGTGCAGAGATTAATAAGCCAATACTTTCAACATGTATCTATAAATACATGAGAATAAGAATAGGACCTGTTTTGATGACCGAGGCTCATGTTCAACAAGCAAGGCAGCTAACTTTCGTCGGCCATTTTTGTCTGCATGAGCAGCAACTGCTGCATAGGATATGCCCTTACACAGTTTTAACTGAGTAAAAGAAGTAATTTCAAGCATTATTCCAATAAAAAAACATAGAATGATCAAACAGAGCTTGATGTGGGGGGAGGAGAACCTTATCCAGGAGAATCTCCAGAAGAGCTGCATCGGGAATTACCAATGAAGCAGTTATCTTTGAACAGGCCCAATGCATTATCACCACCTCCTACACAAAGGCAGTAACAAAAATACCAAAATGACATGTATACTTAGACTGCTAATGTGCTGATGATATTAATGGGGAGAGAGGAAGAAAGAGAGAGAGAGAGAGAGAGGTCAAAACAAAACAATCTATTAAGTTGCTGCAGTTGTTAGAACCACAAATTATTTTCACACAAGTTCATTTAAACTATTAACAATAAGTACCAGTTGTACTCCTATACTAAACACAAGCATAAAAAGATGAGCAGTGACTATCATACCACTAAGAATTTTCCACCCAACGCCCACCCATAACATGTGGTTAAAAATTACACATGGTTATGTTATATGTTTATACACAAATGTATATATGGTTAACTTTGCCTTACAAAGGATTAAAGGTAAATAAATGTGATCATGTACAATTATCAATTTGTGCTTGTGACTAACGGTAAAATATGTCTCAAAGTGGTTAATTATGTAATGAGGTTATTGAAACTTAGAAATGTCTAATAGTAGTTAATTTTGTGTACAAGTTGTTATGAGTAAATGAATGTGATTGAATACAATTATCAATCAATACTCGTGGCAGTAATGGTTAAATATGCCTCACAAGTGGTTAATAGTATCATGAAGTAATTGAAATTTCTAATGCTAATTAATTTAGCTTAGTTCAGTATTCAGGTTCATTGTGCATGTGATTAGCCAGGTCCAGGTTTCTTAGTTAATGAAAATCAGGACCTGTCAATTCTGTTGCACCCATCCACCCTAGGTAATGGACCTCATCCTCCATCCAATTGTGTATAATATAGAAAGGAGGGGGAACAAAGGTAGGATTGAGAATGAGTTGGGGAGTACAGTAGAGGAGGTCGTTATCGAAGAGAAAGGTGGCACTAACAGACTGTATACTTGACAGCACAGAGTGGAACATCAATATGAAGGGAAAGGAGGACTGAAGGAGTTATTGGATGGATCATAAGGAAATTCAGGATGGCTGCAGCCATAGGGCAGCAATAGCATTGTTTCTTTAATATTATTCTCTTGTTCGCTGTTCTAATTTTGATGTTTCTATATTCCACGTACTTGAAGCTTGCCCTCACTGAATTTTCGACGAACCTGTCACATTAATTATTAGATTAGATTAATATATATTTAGTTGTCGAGAGTGTGCATTGACACCTGTTTTAAACTCCAACCAACCACCACCATTATCTCTGACAATCATATCAGCCCAACACTGAGAACTTGCCTCCATCAGAAGCTCCAAGACTGCGCACATATCCTAGTTGCATCTAAAAAAGTCTAGTTATAACCATTGATAACTCTTGACTAGCCTGGATCTCCTCAATTCAGTCTCATCTTTCCTTGTTGTTCCTTGAGTTGAAGAAATTTTCTCAAAGATATTATATTACAATATGCATACACTCCTGGGGACTGCACGAAATATGCAAATGCACCTTTTTACCAATTATGTCAGTGCTCTTCTCTCTACCGACAAGTTGCATGGAAGCAACTATGATACCTCAGCAGGATTTATTGAAGGTCAATGAACTATCAACCATATATCCTATACTTTGATGCATATGGCTGTTGTGTGATTCTTGCATTTTTCAGGGGATTTCTTTGGATGAGAAGAGCAGCAGCTTTTGGATAAGATTAAGCAATTGGCTTCTACATATGTAAACTTTTAAAATACATGATTTTAATATTATAAGATAATTTCCTTAACATACGTTGAAGGATTGGGTAGCATAGCTTCATTGATGTTTTCTTCTATTATAGTCTTCTTTTGTCTTAATGAATTGCTTCTCTACCCAAAAAATATAATGGCAACAGCATTCAAGACTTGACAAGTGATGCACAAATTTGGGATCATATTTCTTGTTTTTTTTTTTCCAAAATATATAATGGCAGCAGCATCCAACTTGACACTGATGCAAAAATTTCAGATCATATAACCAGGGAAGTTTCAATCTTGTATTTAATCATTAGGTGGCACAAGCCACCAAACAAAATGAAAAACTATACAATAATTCATACAATACACACAAACTTACTTGATTCATCCCAAGATATTCTGATACTTTCAGTGCAAGCAGATGTTGGTAAGCATTAATCAGACGACCGATCAGAACAGATGGTGTAAGCAACTGATAGCAATAACTAATTCATTACAATGGCAATATAAGCAATTTCAGCACTGAGATAGACAAGTAAGCCTTAAAAACCTTGTATTGCTGAATACTAAGAGGAATGCCAATCTCAGGGCTGCGCACTGCATTCAAGACCCGCAGAATTTTACACATCTCTTGGATCCGATCACGTTGAAAATTGCTGCCAAAGTCAACTGGATATCATTACCGAGAGCAAATATCAGAAAATATGTGTGTCCCCCTTAAGTCATGAGACATTCACTATCAACAACAATGTAATTAAGGCAACTAAAATAGAAATATCACCAGTATATCCAACAGAAAATACAAATCAGACTCACCTACAAAAAGCCTGCCCATAACTGGCAGCCCTTAGGAGAGTTTGCTGGCGTGAAACGTCAAATTCATGACCTGCAGCATCAACACAAGCTTCAACAGCCTCAGGAAGGGACGATCTAATCAATCTCAAATTTTCATCAGCCTGGGGAATGACAATAAAATCAGAAACTAATCTATAAGCATGAACAGTTTCATGATGTCATAATGAAATACAAATGAAGACCTGCCGCATAAACTAAACTCCAAATATAGTAAGGTCCTTTTTCTTGATTTTGAAACCAAAAACATGCCATAAATCATTCACAAAATGCTTGTTTGTTAGATTCATCATTTTCCTTTTGGTTGCACTAAATTATTAAAAAAATAAATGAATCCAGATTCAGCAGCCAAGTTTAACTACATTTTTCATTACTGGAAATAATAGTCGTTCTTCTTTTCCTTCAAAATGTAGTAAACTTAGTGTATATTGCATTGTCAATAGAAAGCAAACTCGACATGCTCAACACTAATGATTTAGATATACTTTGATTAATGAAGGAAGCTGTAAAAACTTTAAAATATTAACATCAGTAAGACATAATTGAGCATTCAATTCAGGTGTTTACCAACAGACTAAAATAAAATAAAAATCCATGTTACAGACTTACAACAGCATCATAGTACTGAACAGAGAAGAAACTAGTGAATCTATATTTATATTTAAATAAAAGGCTACGCCCAAATATTTAACACAGACAGATTCTTGGTAAGAAGTAGCCTATCAATAAATGGCTGCAAAGCCCATCTAGTAGCTTCTAACTAGAACAGACAAGCAGAACAAGCCTAGTAAAAGAAGAAAAAACCACAGTTAGATTCATTTCTAGAGCTACAAAATGAAGTTCCTTTTCAAATTCTTCATCATATTTTTTATTAAGAACAAAAACCAAAGTTAAAACTAATGCTCAATATACGATTTTAGGCTATGGTGAATTCTTGTCAAGCCTAGGGACAAGTAAATAGATTTTCAAGGTGAGACCCAGGCAATCTATTTATCCTTTTATTGTATATGTTTGCCCTTTGAACTTATTTATGCAATTTTGTTGTTCACTATTTGTTGATGGATTTGTGTTGTTATTATTAAGAACTTTATTTTGGATATTAGTTACTTTCTCATAATAATGTTTAGAAATTTGAACCACGGAATCACGATGTCCTGATCTTTATTTGTTATTTCACATATTAATATTTTATTATGATAAAAAAATATAAATTTAGGTTGGAAAACATGTATTGAAACCATATCAAATATTTTTACATTTATTTTTAAAATTAAAAGATAATGGTTACTGATTGGAAACATATCCTTCCTGTATCTGAATGTATCAGTAGACAGGGCAAAATATGGTGTATCGGTGGTTTCTACACAAACTCTACATAGAATAAAAATTATAGAAATCTAGAGTGAAATGATGCATCTGTCTTGCAACAGAAAAATAATTGAAGGAATAACCTCTACCTTGGCACTTCGCCTATCAAAATGATCCAGGGCATCATACAGTAAAGCAGCAGGTGATGTACTTCCAATTGTGAATATTGAAACGGTGGAATCAGGCACCCGTTGTAGAAATTCCATGCTAGTGTTGGACAATATCCTCACTCCGTCACACTCAGGTATAAGAATTATTGGTTCATCATAAAGGTAGTGAACTGGCTCTCCATCAGGACCCATCATTAAAAGCATATCATCCCAGTACAACAGCACAGCATCCATTCCGCACCAAGCAATTTGTTCTGGAGGAAGGGCTGACTGCATGTACAAAAGCAATAATTGAGTTAAGGACACCATCTAAGCTACTAATACAAACCTAATATGAGATTTAAAGGATAAAAACAGTTTATATATACACAAACACAAACACAAACATAATGAAGAGTAGAAACTTCATAATAAAGAAAATATATACACATCGTTAAATATTAGATACATACACCCATTTTTGTTAAACATGACATGGTGGTGGCAACAAATTATAATTTACAAAATACTCTCAGTTTGCAATATAATTTACAAAATAACAAATTAACAATTTATTGATGACAGACAACACAAATATCAAAGGTCCACTATACCCATACAAACAACAAATTCTTAAGCATTCTGACTCTCTGTATCATTCAAATCTGAAAATATACAAGCACAACAAGTATAAACAAATAGTGTGTCTAGTCTACACAGACACACACATATATACACACACACACACACACACTTCCATACAAATACAAATATCACAAACATTACAAATGTCCCATTAGATACACCCTCATTTGCATTAGTTAGGACATGACATACACCATTCACAGAGAACTAGAAAGTAATGACTTAACATGACTTCAAACTTTTGCTACATTCATCCAAAACACAATTCCTCAGCAATCTACCATGTCCAAGCTTTAAAATTGCAGTCACCACTCACCGCTGCAGTTTCATCAGGATTCACAACTGTGCAATGCAGTCATGGAGACAAAGACACAAAACTCCTTGAAATTATAGCCAAAATCATGGTCATGGATTGTTTTCTAAAACCATGATCATGCTCCACAACTGCAAAAACACCTCCCAAAAACCCATAAAATATAACATGCATGAAAGAGCAACACAATTCGTTCAGACAAACTTTTTCTACTTGTTAAACATTGTTAAAAACTATAAAAAATCATGAACAAGACTATGGATTACTAGCATTTCCCTAACACTCGTTTCAACTTCAACACCACAACCAATCCCACACTCAAAGACCATACCACAACAAAACACGCAATTATCCTAATAACAAACGCATCAATTTCAATTTCAATATATCGAAAGAATCATTCCAAACCCACCTCGCACTCCCTCTCGATGATAACTCCAGTCAAGTCCGAAGTCGTTACCAAAAGCCTCCCGTCATGCGTAAAGGACGCGAGCCACTTGCCGTCCCGCGACACCACCATCTTCTGCAGCGGTCCACGCAGCATTCCCTCCCCGAGCCTCTGCACGCCATCCTCCTCCACAGCGAGCACCACAGCATCATCCACGCCAAGCAAAACCTCAACGTTTCCCGAAACCGTATACTGTGGCTCAATCACCGCCATACAATGCGGTATCTCATCGATCCCAGGATCCGCGAGCTTAACCGCCATAGGGTTCCTGAAATCCGCGATGCAGAACAGCTGGTTCGCCTCAGTGATGCAGACCAGGCCGTTCCCCCAAAACACGCAATCCGCAACGTTGTCCTCGAAGCACTCTTTACCCAGAGAGAGGTTAGGCTCGATCAAATTGGCGTGGACATCGTAGCGGTAGACAGTGCCGTCCTGGACGACGCAGAGAAGCGTCTGGTCGTCGGTCCACGACATACCGACTAGGCGGCCTCCGGAGTGGCGCCAAACGGCATCAGCGAGGGGGCGGCCGGAGGAGGAGAAGAGGCGGAGCTTGCGGAGGGCAGACTCGGCGTGGAGCTGGACGATCTTGGAGTCGTCTCGGATGACGGCGACGGGGCCGCCGAAGGGAGCGACGGCGACCTTGGTGCGGGCGAGGTCGACGTGCTTCCATGGCATTGGGTAGAGCTCGGGCTTGCGGTAGTAGCGATTGTAGAGAAGTTGCCACTCCGCGGCGACGGAGACGTTGGCCATTGAGGAGCGTGGGAGAAAGCGGGCAATGGAATCGATGGGTTTTGGGATTGGATCAGAGAGTGACCATTGATCAATTGATCGCTCTGTTGCTGCGACTCAGGGGATTTGGGAAGAGGAAAGTTGTGCAGAGGAACACTGTAAATTAAACCATGTGTAAAGACATTTGTGAATATTAATTCTACTTATTTTATTTATATTTCAAAGAAATCTGGGGGAGAAATTATTGTAAAGAAATCTTTTATATATTGTTATAGATATTACGTATCTGAAAACTATAATAAAGAGGAAGAAAATATCTTAAAAAGAATAGAAACAAATGGAATGATATATATAAAAAAATTAAAAATATATTTAGAAAAATAATAAATAAAAAATATTGTAAGACGGATACCATATATTGTGTTTCTACCGGTAGTTAACTTAACAACCTAGTAGTATAGTTAAGAAAACATAATATTCAAACTAAAATTAAACTATATCATATTTACTGAAAATTAAAATATGTTTTTAATTTCTGCAAATTGAACAAATTTTTATTTTCTTCTCGATTAAAAGGTTTGCTCTTTTTTCCTATAATATTTAAAATTAATATTTTTTTTTATCCCTGTTACCATATAACAAGCTGTAAATATTTGTGTATTTTAAAAAAAAATAGCATTCAACATTCTATCTAGTGTTCGTTAATACATGTGATTCAATATGAGGATAAAAAAATCAAAACTAATGTTATTTATGAGAAAAAAATTTCTAAAATAATATTTAATTATTGAAATAGATCTTCCAATTTCAAGACTGATTTACTATATAAGATCATAATTCAGTTTTCGGTAACCGAATTCCAAATGTAAAAAGACATACCAACAAAGCAATCAAATTTTGAACTGTGATTTTATTTTTATTCTTTTTACTCTAGAGTAATTTATATATATAGAGATAGAGAGAGAGGTATATATTTTATATTTATATATTTATATTTAGTATTAATTTTATTGTAAATATTATTTATATATTATGTTAATAACATTATTTTCAATAATATTTATATTTATATATTACTGTAAATAAATTTTATGTTAATATTATAAATATTTTTTATTTATTTAAATTTGCTTAATATTTATTTATATTAACGTTAGTATATTTATATTAAATTTTTTTCTTACAAATATTCTAATAAACAAGAAGGATTACGTTGAAAATTTCTTGTTAAAATATTATGATATATGCAACCTTCTAAATTTGTGAAGAGTAATATTATCACACATTCTTTGTATAACAATGTAAATAAAATTTTGGATGAAATTGGTTTTCTCTCGTGTCTTTTTTATTTTTGTGTAATTTCACATTAATTTGTTTTTAAAATTGGTCCTTATAAGATGATTTATAATTATTATTTCTTAGTTTTTGAATAATTTATCGTAAATCTTATCAACTTGTGTTAATATATATATATATATATATATATATATATATATATATATATATAAAAGATTGATGTAATTGGCAAAATCATGATGTGTGTATTTACACGTATCAATTACATACGAACAATATAAATGAAACTTTTGGAATTTACTATAGTCACATCATGATTCGTCTAATCTTATTACAAATTGGCTTATTGATCTAACTTCTTATGTTGGATTAATAGTTTCCTCCACCAAAAATATTGTGCTCATTCAATCAAAGTCAATTATTCTATGAATGTTCGCCTTTGAATGTACATCATTCAAAGTCTTGACTACCACTTCAGAGTATACATGTCCAACAATAATCATGGTGATATTCTCCTTACTTCTTTTAATGAAGAACTTATTACAATGTGTGGAAGTTGTGGTCACCAAGGAGGAAATAGAAAGGGTCAGGTTGGTGGTCATGTGTCCCCAACGTTGAGCGTTGTTTCAAACTAGTGTTCACTTCTCCTTCGAGATTTTGTTCAATCATTATGCTACCTCTAGATCTTCATTTCTTACTATGTTGTAATAATAGAATAATAGAACTCAATCATTTCATATATTGTTTCCAACATAAATGAAGATTAATTAGTGAATAGTTACCTCAGTCATTCCATACTACATCAAATTAATGAATTTAGAAAATAACATAACTTATCCATATTTACAACATCTTGCTTAAGTGAACTTTTCTTGAACCTTCCCATGAAATTTTGTGCAATGTGTCGAATGTAATACACATACATAAATTTGTTTTTGATTCAACCATTATCTATTTTAAGTAAGCACTTCATATGGACTCATAATGGTAAGAAATAAAGCATAATCCATCTTGTGGGGTGACATATCTCCTTAAGTTCCTCAAAAAGAATAATCAAGTATCAATTGTTTCTCCATCCATTATAACGAAGGCTATTAGATGTATGTTGTTGCATCCATCTTATACTGCAACAAAAATGTTCCTCTGTATTTTTCATACCGGAACGGTTTGTCCACTAACATCAACGACTTGAAGCATTGAAAACCATCAATGCAAGGTTTGAATGATCAGAACACCCTCTTGAAGAAGACATGAACCTCAACTAGTTGTTGTCCTTGGTATACGGGATGAGTGTTCATCATCCATATGAACCCAGGAATATATACTTGTATTGCCTTTAGAAGTTGTGGAAGCTTCTTTTATGACTCCTCCCAATTATTGCATAATGTCTTAATGGTCAATTGCTTGGCTAGCCATGTCTTCCGATATGTGATAGTATATCCTTGGGTGGACTTGATATGGACAATTATTATTGACATAGAGGTTGAACAATCAACATCCACAATCTCTTGAATTTATTAAGAAATAAGGTGTAACTCAAACTTGTTATGATCTTGAGATATTAACTGGAAACACAAGTGTGGACGATTTTCAACTTCATTATTTGCCAATGTTGTTCTTTAATCCACAATATTGTTTTGCACCTCCAGTCACACTTTGGATGAATACAATGCACTACAAGCCTAGATTACTTGAAATTTGTACCTTGTATGTGTGTGCAATGGTGGATGATGTGGAACTTGTTTCTAATGTCTTGGACATCTTGTTTGGTGTTGAAGCGCTAACTAACAAACAATGTTCTAAGAAGGTAGACAGGTGCATATCTGTCAAAAACATGATCGAAGTCTAGGTTAATGTCATTTATGGTGGATTGGAATTGGATGAATTGTTAGGTGGATTGTAAGTTATCTAGGTAGGTTGCATGTTTAGTTTTTGTTGCAGTTATTCTTCTTTTTCTTCATTCGTACTAACAACAAGGACATCATCGTCCTCATTAAAAGGATCATAACTTTCTTATGGATACTACTAGACAAATATCTTTTTATGTCGGTTATTTTGGATATTTTATGTTAGTTTCTAAATCGACATAGATACAGGAGATATAAAAAAATTTCATTTTTTATGTTGATTTTTTAAATGACTTAAAAAATTACTTTATATCTCGATTACACATCCAACAATCATAAAAAGTTTAAAATAGGATGAAAAATGAATTTGACGTAGGTACTTTCTATGATGGTTGCTACCTTAATCATCATAGAAAGTAAATTTTCTATGACAGTTCTTGACTAAACCAACATATAAAGTCACTTTCTATGATGATTAAGGTAGAAAACTTCACTTTTCTATGATAGTTTTAGTATGATCTGTCATAAAAAGTTATAGTTTTTTTTAAATAAATTTTTTATTTTCTACATCAATCTCCTTGCATAATAATAAATATATATTTTCAAGCAGAATATATACTTAATAAATTCATAATATATATTTTACAATAATATACAAAATATAAATTGTAGTTTGAGTCGCGTTTTTAAAAGTGTAGTTCAACGCCTTTAGGTTGTCCGATAACTGGGCGAGGTTTTCGAAAAGGGTTCTATGGAGTCGCCACCGATGTTTTTACCGAAAACATCGGAAAAGGAAAAAAAGAAAGCATTGGTTTAGAAAAAACCAACTTTGACCATTACAACCGGAGTCGGGTAAGGGAGTTAGTTACGTGTGGGGAAGGTATTAGTACCCCCACGACGCCCCTTTCGGGTTCCCTATGATGGACTATTCTTAAAATAAAGACAATAAAATTATGTTTCTACCCTATTTATTTATTACAGAATTTAAGTAGCTATCTACATGATTCTAATATCTAATGCATACAAGGGAAACAGTAAAAGAAAGCAATAAAAGAAAAGAGATATGAAGGAGAACCTCCGAAGCGAGCTTTCATAAATGTTGAACTTGAGGACGCTTTTTGGCAGTCCCCGCACTGTACAGAGACACTCCTCCCTCGATCAAAAATAAAGGTGTCACCCTACCGAGGGCCGGATGTCTCAAAAAAAGGAGACATCCTTAACCGATTTCTACCTTAATGGAAATCAGAAAGCTCACTCGAACTCTGGAAAAATGCTCAAAGTCACTCTAAAGTGCCAAAAGGCTTCCTAGAGAGTGGTAGGAGTGAATGGTGTGAAAAGGGTGAGGAAGTCTCCCCCTTTTATAGAAATTCACGTCTGTCAGGTCGGGACCGCCGTCTCGCCTGACAAGGTCGGGACCGCCGTCTCGCCAAATAGGACGGCGGTCTCGCCTTCGGCAAGTGCCGAGATGACCATCTCGCCAAACGAGACGACTGTCTCGCCATCAACGAGTGGCGAGACGACTGTCTCGGCCCTTTAGGTGGAATTTCTTATTTTTCCTATACAAAAATCCTTCCTATTCTAATATGGGACCTATTGATCAATCCTAGGGATCTTTTAGGCCTTGCCCATATTTGAACAGAAGTCTTCTGCTCTTTATTTTGAGGCCGAGCAAGATTTGGGGTCTACAGCTGCCCCCCTTCACCTAACTAGCCGACTGTTGGCTCGACATGCCAAAAAGATCGGCTGGAGGGTGAAGGAGTTAATCCTCTTGCCCGACTGTCCTTCGGATGCTTCTTCTTGCGGTAGCCGATCCTCTTGACGAAAAATATGTGTGTGCTTTCGGGATGCTCCTTCATGCGATAACCAACCCCTTTGGAC